ACACGCACACACACAAAGCTAATTCACACTTTTATGGCGTAGACGACGAATAGGAGTCTGGGGGAGCCGAAGAAGCTGCAGCTCTATTCCTATTACAGGAGCTCTTGCTCTTTCCGTGTTCGTATCGCTTTAAACTTGAAAGGTTCGTTGATTATTGTACTTTTTTCCGTACAGAGTACATTGTGTCGATTTTAATTCTTGAAGCTACTATAAGAAGAAAAAACATTAGCTAAATTGTTTCCTCGTTTTTTTCGTGGATTGCCAACAGGACTGGATTATGAATACAAAGCGGTTAATCTGCTTAAAGGAGAACAGCAAAGTCCTGGTAACAAACGCCTTACTTAGCTTGAATCCCAATTAAACTAAATTTGTATGATATTATTGGTTGTTAATACTACTTTCATAAGGTTGCTTCTTTTCATATCTCCTATTCCAAGTTGTATTAGACTGAAAATATATAAATGGTGAAGAGTTGTATCTAGAGTAAAAGTTTTGAAGTCTGATTAGTTTACTACTCATATACATACCTATATTCTTAATGTGCTCGGATATTAGAAAGGGGGCACTGATTCTGGAAAGGAGGGAGAGTAAGTTAGTTGCCTTCCATCCGAAGCTGCTTCGGTGGTCTTGTATTAATCCCCTTTGTTTCATCAACAGCTTTATATTTACACTTTTGAGGTCCAAATCCAAGGCAGCAAATCGTAATTTTATGTTGTAAGGATAGTTTCCTGTTACAGGACAATCAATAATTAAATTAGAATTATAAAAAGCATTTTGATGAGAAAAAATTATAGTAAAATTTTTAAGAATAATTTGGAACTATCTGTTTCATCTCAAAAGTAAAACTGAAAGGGAGTATAAGGTTTGTGTGGGAGAGGGTTCACATTATGGATTCTCATCACATCTTTGAAGTGATCATGCTATTTGGTAGTGGTAATTATGAAAACAAATTATAAGATAGAGTGAGAGAGCTGTGCCTAATTGTTTTGTTGGACAGAGCCAAATACATGTGCTAAGAACTCAACTCAATTAAGATTAACAAGAAACTCAGAGATAACAAAGATCAAACAGAGAAAAACAATGTAAATAACTCCGAATATTACTTAATAACCACTAATAATCATTGTGTTTTCAAGAACAAAGAGACCCTAATGCTTCATGCTTCACTAGAAATTTGAGAGTTCTAGTTCTCTCCCAAAGGCATTAGGACCAGAAATATCACAAAAGTTGTATACTACCCTCATTTTCTCCACCCTCTTATAAGCTCTGTTGCAAAAAAAAAAAAAAAAAAAAAACCCCTCTACTAATAAGATACTATTTATTTGGCATAATTTCCCTATTACCCCTTCTGAAACACTTAGATTTAAGTTTGAGGTATAGGCTATAGCAATACCCATCCCCCAAAGAAGCATCTTGTCCTCAAGGTGGATAGAAATGGTGTATAGCATCCAAATTCTCCCATGCTTGTCTAGCCTCTCATTACTTAAATCAGCATCTTTATTACTCGACTATCTTTTCAATTGCCTGGTCAGCTTTCTCATTTGACTCTTCCAAGCCCTTTCAATGATCTCACTCTTCTTGGTATGCCAGTTACATAATTTGGGACCATACTCATGTCTAGCCACTTCAACTGCACTGTGTTTTATCAAATTTTCTGCATACTTGTGATCCATCCAGTTGCAATAATTGCAACCAACCCACATCCATATTCATCAGAACCCAATGTAATGCCACTTGTCTTCCTTCCAATTAACTGATTTAACTCAACAAGGAATTGAGTGAGCTTTTTGGAAATGCCTTGAAGTGAAAGACATGGAAAACTTTTCAAGGCTTCTGGTTGGTCGTGAGTTTCTTGAGGAACACAACTTTGAGTTCTTCCCAATTCACCAACGGCTTTTGCTTCTTTCAATTGTTAGCTCGAGGGTCATACGTGCCGCCTCAGCAAGATCTTCCTCGGTCTGAATTTTCTCTCTCTACTGCTTCATCTTGCAAGGCTTTCTCTGGATCAGGCTCATTTCATTTGTGACAACATGAGGATTCTTTGAAATAGATTTCTCACTCCATGGAACAAACACTAATTTTCATCCTTCCTTTTCAATTCTAGCTTTCAAAGCCACCTGTGGTTCTTTGTATTTCAATGGCTTAATTGGATCCATATCACGTGTCCATTTTCTAACAGATTGAAGCATCAGGGTGAGGCCATAGGAAGATGATCCGGTGTTGTTCTCGAGGAGTGAAGACGCACCTATGCTTACGATTAAAGTTTCAACTTTTTGGATATTTTCTTTACAGTCACCCTTTAATCCGAAGCTAAATTGAGGTTGAAGAAACTCATCTTCCATTCCACCATCAACAATAGATTACTTTCAAACATAAAGTTTCTTAAAGATGAAGCAGGAGTTCCCAATAATGATTGATCAAGGAATCATAGGGCAAGCTTAGTTTCAAGGTCTAGAGGGTTATCAACTAGCAGCCAATTAAGGCATACCATATGGTTTTTCTATAAATCACCACCTTCTGTAGCAGGGTAATTCTCAACAACTCTAACAGGGTTTGAAAGCAGGGTAATTCTCAACAACTCTAACAGGGTTTGAAAGCAGGGTAATTCTCAACAACTCTAGCAGGGTTTGAAAGAAGGGTAATTCTCAACAACTCTAGGTGAGCTGGAGTTTTACCCAACATATTTAGATATTCATTTAAGATTCACAGGCGCTCATATAAAACCAAATCCTAGCACTACTTGAGGGGATCACCTCCACTATAAACCCCATAAACATCGTTTGGAAAAACATGTGATGTTTGACCTAAAATGTTATCACCTCGAATATGTTCTGTTAAACTCCAATTACTAGCTACTGAATTGTGGACTTTGATGGGTGGATTTGGATGAAGAAAATGTGAAATCAGACATGGCTATCTTTGATTAAATCTCGCATGGGCTTAATTCCTTACTTATGAAGTTTAGCGTTAGATCCAGTTTCTGTGAGCCCAAGGTCTAATTTCACCCCAATTGTATATTTTAAGCCTATTTTTGCGAAACTCTAAAAGTGTTTCTTTTGGTCCATCGCCTAAAGGAGCCTTCAACTGTGATCCAATAACAACACTAATTCGACGATACCTAATTCTAGTTCAGTGATGACATGAGACCCCGCCATAAACTGCTGCTTGTAGCCTTGTATGACACTCCTCTCCTTGAAGATTGGAAACTGACGATGGATCTAGCCCTTCATCTCTTCCGAGTCTTGTATAGGCCGCTTTTGGTGCTCCCAATCATACCAAAGTAGGGCATCGTCTACAAGAGCCTCCATTGCTGCTTCAAGGTGCTCCTCCTCCTTTAACTGAAAGTATGTGAAGTATTTCTCAGCTCTCATTATCCATTCCTTTGGTTGGATTCTATTGAAAAAAGGCATCTCTAGCTTTCTAAGTCACCTAGTAGCCCTTGTTGGACTTTTGTTCATTCCATTGTTCTAAACTTTAATTTTTGGCAGTAGTGGTGGTGGGGAAAGCGTTGGTTGTGGTGTTGAAAGGCATGGCGGTGGTGGTGTTCAGCTGCTGCCTTGGTCGACTTTCTTCAAAACAGTGGAACGAACCATCTCAATCTTCTTCCTATTCTCTGTAGCCATCTTTTTCATCTCTGTCAATTTTTCAACCAATAAAGACAGGCAATTGCTTTTTGATTTCAACCTTCAACCCTTCTACTGTATCTAACCGTTGATCTAGGGTCATTTTTCCGATACCAGGTTGACCTCCTTGCTTCTCTCACGGTATAATCCTCTTCCTGTGGAGCCCTAATTTGCTAAGAACTCGCCGTCTCAAATAAGATCAACAAGAAACTCACAGATAACAAAGATCAAATAGAGAAAACAATGTAAATAACTCAGAAATATTACTTGGGTGCTTTTTGTCTTTTCAGAGGCAAAAGGTCTACAGTCTGTGAACCACATTTGCAGATCTCTCTGCAGTAGAAGGGGTGGACCAAACGTCAACAATTTGTAAGAAGAAGATTGTTTGTTTTTTAACGTCTGTAGGCTGTTAAAATAAACTGGTTTTTAAAAGCTAAAAGAGTTTTTGAATATTGGAATTTAAATAATTCTAATTTTACAATACTAAAAGGTTCCATCAAATTCAAATTCCTTAGGATTTCAATTCATTAAGAGATTCCATATTGGAATCATACAAGACCTTTTGTTACTTATTCATAGAGATCAACAAAATGATAAACTACTTATTTTATTTTTTGATTAATATTTTCCTTAGTAAAATTTCTTTTAAACTTAGCATTTTTATGACTTTGTTATACATAGTTAAAAAATCTAGATCAAATTTTATGTAATAGTATAGCACTCTCATTTTTCATAACCACTTTTTATTTTATTTGTTTATTGTGACATTATATTATGATTAATGTGTATGCCTAAATTATTTTGTATTTTAATGATAATAGGATAATCAGGTTGTTTTTTCAAACAGTGTGTTGTAATATAAAAAAATGAAAGTAAAATGGTATCAATCAACAAATATATTTGATATTCATTGTATTTCGTTGTAGGTAAAATGGGGTATATTACAAAAAAAAAAGGTATCCGAACAAAAAATATTAATCATTTTAATTGTTATATAAAAAGATATTAAGAGTAAAATGGTTTTTTTTAGGTTAGAAGATGTCTGAAGAGGTTAGAAGCCTTTGGTCTGGTCCACATTGCACTAAGAAGAGGACGCACATAATTTATGTCCGTGGTCTTCCAAAAAATAGTCTGCGAAGGCTAATGTCTCTGTGTGGTTTCCGCAACGTTCACAAAGAAAGAGGCCAAGAAGATCTGTAGTCAAAAAACAAACCCCACCTTAATAATCACTAATAATCAGTGTATTTTCAAGAACAGTGAGACACTAAAGCTTCACTAGAAATTTGAGAGTTTTAGTTCTCTCCCAAAGGTGCTAAGACCAGAAATTTCACAAAAGATGGATACTACCCTCTTATAAGCTCTGTTGCAAAAAACAAAATAAGTAAAATACCTGAATTACCCCTCTACTAATAAGATGCTATTTATTTAGCAGAATTTTCCATTTACCCCTTCTGAAATACTTAGATTTAAGTCTAAGGTATTGCAAAACATGCTTTAAGAAACTTGTAATGACTTTAGTTACTTAAGAGTAGAACTGAATCGTTGTTAATAGATAGTTCATCATGCTTTAATTTTTTTGTTTTTGTTTTTAAATTTTTTAATTGATTCCTATAAACTGTCTTTTAACATTAATCCGGTCTGTAATTTAGAGTTTTTAGTGGTCAACCCTATTGGGTATGTGCCTGTGTTGGTGGATGGTGACATAGTACTTGCTGACTCTTTTGCGATCGTAATGGTGAGTTTTGGATTTTTCCTTACTGAGCTTTGCTTGAGTTATATTATATTATAAAAGCTTTTCTGTATCATTTCTCATAAATCATAATGCTTCTTTTACCTGTTTTACCATCATATTCTTCTTCTGCACAGTACCTCGAGGAGAAGTATCCTGAGCATCCTTTGTTACCTCGCGACCTTGAGAAAAAGGCAATTAATTACCAGGTAAACTCATTTGGCTTCTTGTTCTCTTGCCTTATTTCATTGGTGCAATCTTTATTAAAGACTAACCAAAGAATGTCATCATTAGATCAAGCATGCAGTGTCCAACACTTATTAGTCTGTTCACTGTCTATGTTCTTAGAATTATGACTTCTCAAGGCCTTCCTAATGGTCTCAAATAGATGATAATACTTAAAGCCTTCATAAACCTTAATCAGTTAACTAGTAAACATATCTTTGTTGGTCTCATTGTTGTATAAGTTCTTTACTATCGACTTTCCATGATGGTTATAAGTTTTGGAGTTACATTGATTTGAGGCATAAAAAGTTCCATGTCATGGTTTGATTCTTCCAATCTGTCTACGTTGTGCCCAAAGTTTCAAACCGTTTCATTCCCAAAATGACGTCGGAGCTGCCTAATCGAAGAGGTAAGAATTCTTCTATTATGTTGATTGCCTGTAACTGTAACAACACTCCTTTACACACCCCTCGCCCAACTTCATTGTCCCTAGGACCCATGTGAACACCGTATGGTTTGGTATCCTTAGCAAGTAATTCTAGTGTGCTTACACTTACCAGGTTGGATGAAATGAAACTGTGGGATCGATCAAAACCACCACCGGTTGTGACAAGATGCTTCCTAGGAGTTTCATGGTTTTGGGAGAAGACATATCGGCAACAAAATTGAGAGATACCTCTATAGGATGGTTGATTTTCAGTTGTTCTTAGGGTGGCGTCCTCTTAGCTGGCTCCCATCGAGGTTGTTCCCCATATCCTCTTCATCCACCAAAATCACTTTAATATGGGATTTGCATCTGTGGCCAGGATGCCACTTGTCATCACACTTATAACACAAGCCTCGTGATTTATTTGTGCTTCCAATCCCCCACCAAAATTCCGCATAATGCTACTCATTTTCGTATTGGTTGAGAAATAAGGAGAAGAAGGTGTCGGAGCGTTACCCTGTGGCTGTGGCTATTTGATTTGCAGTTCGGATCCCTAAAGTCCCGAACCCGCTAGATTAAAGTGACATATTCTTGTCTTCAATCTGCTGGGATAAATCAGCCCAAATCAAACGGAACCCGCATTCTTAAATTTTTTATTTTTTTTTAATCGCGAGCTTCAGTTCACTAAGGAAGACCCCTTAGTGACCCGATTTGGAGATCTCCTTGATAAATGGCCAAGTATCTCCTCCTTGAATGGAGAATATACTCCGATGTACTTCCATTTTGTTCCGGAGATGACCATTGATCATAGAGATCTTCTCCTTGGATGGAGCGAAATTTCCGCTCAAGCGCAACACCGCCACCTCTATTTTTTCCTCATTGATCAATTGATTAATGGCAAAGTATCTTTCCGCCTGAAGAATCCACCCATCGGGTTCCGTTCCATCGAAGGAGGGCATATCGATTTTTCTTGTGCAATACTCAAACCTTCCCCTTCCATTGTTATTTGGATGACACTCCCAAAGAAAATCCCATAAACACCTTGGCCGGAACTACCACTCCCTGAGTCTCCAACACCCTTGTTGTTGTTCCCAGGGTTTCTACGTGGAGTGATAAGCCCAAAGTTGAGCGTTTTTGGGTTCCCTCTTCCACTTCCTGCATTCCCTTCCGTTCTCTCAAGCAGCTTGGTCAGGGTAGATGTCATTTCTTCATGATTATGTGACAGGGAAGCACTGACCCATATAGACCCGATTCAGAAATGGGTCAACTTGATCCGATTGGAAACTCCAAATCCTTGATTGCATGCTTGTTTTTTTTGTACCCACGTTTTTGTTCACAATACGTTAATTTTGTTTCCAGTTATTTTATTTTTATTTTGAACTTTTCAAAGTAGTTTGAATTTTCCATAAGTGTAGGATGAGGGTGGTAATGTTTGGTAGTTATTTTCTTTTCACATTATGTATTGGGAATTTGAGAAAATGAAGACGGACTTGAATTTCCTAAAATTTAACATCCTCTTCATCCAGAGTGTTTGTTTTTGTTTTTTTTTTCCATTGCTATCCTAGTTATTTGGCAGGGATTAGGAGGTGAGCTTGGAAGACTAATTTGGAATTCTCGTGGTGCGACTGTATCGGGAATTTGAGTTAGATTTCTGCCCATCGGAGCTTTCGAGTGGTGTGACTATCTCGCAGGCGTCGTTGTATTATATTGTATCCAACTATCGGGTAAAGCCGATCCTTTTTTAAGTTGTTGGTCATCATTATGTCTCATCTCTTATTGCATGACATCCATTCTCAACTTCATCTCTTCTGTATCCCCACCATGGGACTGGAGTTGAATATGCATAATTCCAACTTGCTCCTCCACCTTTTTGATAGTGGCGGCATCCCTAGTTGCATCCTTTGCTGCTCCTCCCATGAGCTCTGATGCCAATTGATAAGTCTTTGCTCAGTATTAGAATGAGAATACAATCCACAGATGAGAAATAAGAAGGATAGCTCATATATTGATAAAGCTCCCAATCATTCGAGAGGAATGGGTCTCTCCTAGGAAAAGTTCCTTTCACAAAATTCTAAGCGGCCTTCTCTAGAAAGACAAAAAGACCAAATACCAAAACAAAGGTGCCAGCTCACCTGGGCCGACCAAAAAGGATGCTCCCCACAAAAGACCAACAACATGGGTGGAACACTAACACTAACGGATGAAACCACAGGAGCCAATTAAAGAGAAAAGACAAAAATTCCATAAATATTGATAGACTCTAAAATTAAAGATGAGCTGGACCAAAACTCAAAGATTACTTAGCTGGGCTCTTCTTTGGCTGCTTGGACCTCTAGCTATAAACATAGTGTATTGGGGTTTATCATTACCCCATCGTTACCTGATGCAGCAACATTAATTTACATACTGTTACTCTTGTTATCGATTCCGAGGAGCAGAAACCAATATTCAGGTAGAAAAGAAACAGTGAGGACCATTATTTGGTAAATAAATATAAAACTACAACTAATTGATAACTATTTTTTATATGTACACAATATTTTAGTAAAAAACTCGCACACCATTATCATCCAAAAAAGCTCTCCTATTCCTTTCCTGTCTACTCCACTACAACCAACACAACCTTATTGTCTCTGGTTTATAGTCGCATCATCTTTGTGTGACTTAACACTCATCTACTTTTATTAAATACACAGGCTGCAAATATCGTTTCTGCGAGCATACAACCTCTTCAAAATTTAGATGTTTTGGTGAGTAACAACTTTCTCAGTAACATTTTTCTGTTACATATAATTTATTAAACCAACTTGCAGAAGTACATCGAGGAAAAGGTTGGTCCGGATGAAAAGCTTCCATGGGTACAAAAGCATATCAGTAAAGGCTTTACAGGTACATTCCAACATCACTTTCTTTGCCACACTAATCACAAAACTAGACTAGATCTGAAAGAACCAAAAATAAAATAAAGGATTAACTGCTAGAAATATCAACGTGCTTCCATTTATTTGTGTATTATACTGTCCAAGTTTCCCTTCTTTGTATTACGCATTATACTTTCAATATCTTTCTTGTTAAGGCATTGTACTCTGGTAATAGCATTATACTCTATTTTTTTATTAGGATGTTTTTGTATACTTTGGAAAATCTATTCAGTAATTGCAGTGAAAATTGATTTGTATTCAGATAATGTGCTATATAATTGGGTACATTTTTCAAATTACAATGCAAGAAAAAATCAAAGTAGGATGCTATTATAATAATAATCAGTTTTCAGTGAAAGTAAGTTTCTATTTCTTTCATATAACCCTAAATAAATACAACGAATGTGATTTAAATGGACACTAAAGTATTTAGAATTGAGATTTCCTATATCATAAAAATGATGCCCTCTTCATCTAGGCTATTTTGGCAGACTAGCTGAAAGATGAAAAGCTAGCTGCTAGCCGACAAAAAGGTTCTTGTTCGGCATGGAGCGTTTGGGAGCATTTGAGAGCTAGCTTTTAGTGTTTGACAAAACACTCCATTTTGAACAGTAAGGCTTGTTTGGCACTACAAGCTTCTAGCGTTAAACTCCAAATCCAAATGCTATTTCACGTAGCGTTTAACAAAACGCTCCAAACTACAAGCTACCCGCTAGTTTTGCTGAAAACGACCAAAATGATGTTTGGTAAAACTAACTGATAAGCTAGCTGAAATATGTAAAATGAAATAAATGGTTTATTTGGAAGAATTTTAAAAAAGCTTGATAAGCTCGTTGCTTTTAAAAAGCTAGCTTATAAGCTACTTTTTGGTTTGACAAACATGACAACCTAAGAGCATCTCCAATAGGAGCTTTTTTTAAAGCTTATTACTATTTATTTATTTATATTGAGTACTTATTATCATTGGAGTATATAGCTTTTTTGCTTATTTTTATTGACAACTCAATATATATCGAGCGGTCAATATAGTTTAATCCTTTATACATTCAATTCCCTCATCTTCTACTCATATTTTATTTTACCACTTGAGTATATTTTAGTTTTTAATTTATTTTTTTATTACTAGTTAACTAATTCTATCAAATATTTAATGATATTTTATTTATGAAAGATAAATTTATAATGATAAATCTTTATTAAAATAGTTTGTATTAAAATATAATGTGTGTTTTAGAAATGACCGACTAAATGGAAGGATTATGTAGAACATTTTAAATAGATAAGGGTAGATTAGTTAAATTTAAAGAAAAAATTATTGGAAGAAGTTAACCATTGGAGATGTCATTTAATTAGAGGTTAAATGTAATGGAATGAAGAGGTATCAATACTATTAAATCATAGTATAGGTTAACCATTGGAGATGCTCTAAGAAAGCTCAAAAGATAGCTTATAAGGTATTTGTGGCGTGCCAAACATAGCCTTAGTTGTGGCTAGATAACCTGGTATCATCTTCGTTTGCTTCGTCCTGTTGACTTTTAAGAAGCCTAATAAACTTTATAGAAAATCACTTGTCTTCATATTGGAAGTGACTGAATAAACTTTCCCATGGTATCCCCACTAAGGAATTCATATATATATATTCTCTCTCTCTCTCTCTCTCTCTCTCTCTCTCTCTCTCCACACACACACACACAACAAGTGAAATGTAATTTTATGATCATGTGAAAGATTTCCTGTTCTTTTGGGCCTGTTACTCGGGACACGAGACATATATGTACTTCACTTGTGGTGCATTGGGCTGGGGCTAAGAAAAAAGAAAGGCGGGAGAGGGACATGTTCTCAATCTTGTGTCTGTGCAAATGATGCGAATAGTCTCCTTATCCTAATCATGGCCTTCCAATCCTGTATATCCATAATAATAATAATAATAAGAAATAATATAATATTGTAGCATAGAGGGAGAATACAAAATATTATGTTCTAGTGAGCAAGATCCATTACATTTAGTAATGTTAATCTATTGCTGTGACTTGTGAGTTGTGACGTGAGCATCCCAAAAGAGACACAACACCAATGAACCTCTTCAATGGCTCTTGTAAGCTGCTAAGCAAGAGTAGAGTTGAATGCGGAGTGGGCCCACCCCATACCAGTCTGTCTGGTCAAACTTTTCAATGCCATATAGAGGCTAACTCTGGTCAAATTGCAGGAAATGTCAACGTACTTTCTTGTTTTTTCCATTATGAGGCAATTTGATTTATTATTTATACCCAAAATACCAGTGCACTTACATTTTTCAACTGATAATAGCAATCTACTTACAATTTCTTACATTTCCTTACCGATAATAGCATATGTAACAAATAAACTACATGACCCATATTGGTAAGTATGTTGCTATTATTGGTAAACAAATAAAGTACACTGCTATTATGGTAAAAAGTAAAGTACATTGCCTGCATTAGTATTAAATAGCAAAGTTTACCCCATTATTAGTTTAAAGTTGTTCAAATGATTGAGCAAATTGTAAAACTTACCTTACTATGCAATGCATGCTACAAATCTTGATTTCAGCTGTGATTATAACCTTGCAGCACTTGAGAAATTACTAAAAGATCATGCGGGAAAATACGCCACAGGAGATGATGTTTTCTTGGTATCGTTTCCTTCCTATCCGATATCCATATTGCATGCCATTCATATCTAGAATCTAAATTATGCATACTCAACTCTAAGTAAGAAGACAGTCTAGTTTCTTCATCTTTCCCTATTTAAACCTAAATATTAATTGCTATTTGCTAATTCCATAACCATAACATAAATAGGTTTCGATTTGAATACGTGATGTACATTTCTGTCAATCCCAATTGTCCATCATATTCAGGTGGAATCATAATTCCTTCAAATTCTAAATAATTTTAAAATAAATAATATTTTAAAAATTTATTATAAATTCATTGCAGGCCAGATTCCAAACATCCCGCTTAGTTTGGGTGGTTGCTCAACAAACAGAACAAATTTTGAAAAATGTCACGTGATTTGATGCAAATAAATAAATTGCTAGCTGTTACTGTAGACATCCCATTTAATATGAGTGTTTTTCAAAATTGTCCTGTTAACTTTTTGCAGGCTGATGTATTTCTGGCACCACAAATCCATGGTTCAATACAAAGGTTTAACCTTGACATGGTAGGATCTCCGTTTGATATGCTGCAAATTATATAGGGTTAAGTGCAAGAAATAGTAACATACATTCATTAATACTTCCCGTCTCGATCTGCAAATTATATAATTATTGGGCAGATTTTTTCAAGTGTAATAATAATGCCTAATAAGAAAAGAATGCTACAGTTTTCAATGTAAAATGCCTTAATAGGAATTAAAAAATGGAAGTAGGATGCTGTTTCTTGCATATATTAGCTGGCAGCAGATGTTGTTAATGTAAGTTTGGATTTGGTTAGAGAAAATTGTAAGAGTTGTAATTGAATTGGTTTTGGCACAGACAGCATTCCCTCTTTTGGCTAGGCTGCATGAGGCATACCTGCAGCTACCTGCTTTCCAAGATGCTATGCCTGAAAACCAGCCAGACTTCCCTGCTGCTGCTGCTGCTGCTCAATCAGGTAATTTCAATGGGTTCTCTCCATCAAATCTTTTCATTTCATATTCCATTATCTATCTCTATCAACCGCATCCACTAAATAAATTTATCAAAGTTCCGACACCAAGTGCTTTCTGGATAATTGAGCTCAAAACATTTATGAAAACGCACTTGACTTAGGGATATAAACTAATAAGGGAAAATTTGTAAAACTTAATATTTAATCAATGGGAAAAGCCTCCTTATTTTCTCCCTTACGATTTTTTTTTTTGTTTTTTCTGCACTAACTAAGTCCCTCAAAAAGAAACGCTCATACGGTGGTGTATATAGCTTTCTTTTTGACTTGATCAAGTCGACTCTGGCTTAGTAGGGTAAGAAAGCTATAACCTATACATGGGCCTTTCTCTAACTTATTAACTTATATATATATATATATATA